TTCTGACCCAGAAAAGAAATAACCTTCACTGGGAATCCAGAAACACAAAATCATGCACACACAAAGCTATCAAATACACGTTCCTAAAGTACTACTATCCTCATTCCACGAAGTACATCAATATTTCTATTCTGATCTATTTCATTTCTATTTATGTGTTGGTAAACAGTAATCTCAGGAAAAAAATGCATCTCTCTTGAAAGATGTTCATACATTTTGGAGTTCTCCCTAAAAGAGTGCAAGTACCATTAATATATGGGAATAAATGGTTAAGTGTTTATATAACAAAATTTTTAATTAAAAAAATCACTGCTTGGGCAGCCCTGGTGGCTCAGCGGTTTAGGGCCACCTTCAGCCCAGGGCGTGATCCTGGAGACCCTGAATCGAGTCCCACATCAGGCTTCCTGCATGGAGCCTGCTTCTCCCTCTGCTTGTCTCTCTTTCTCTCTCTCTCTCTCTCTCTCTCTCTCTCTCTGTCTCTAATAAATAATAAAAAAGTCACTGCTTTATTAATACAAAATATGAGCTATTCTTTATAATATCCCTAAAATCAAAAAGAAAACTTATGAAGCATGTAGAAATGAGATACTTGATAAAATACGTTCTCTCTGCCCCATGTATCATGAAAAGTCAAAGTTGAACTATTGAAAATTCTTAGGTCATTTCTACTTACAACACAGTTTGTTTTGCCCTAATCTAATTCACCTCTAGATTGTTTTCTGCATTTTTGGTAGATATTTCTGGCTTTTAGTATTTGAACTTTTAAAATGGAATAAAACTTGCTGATATCCGGGTTAAATTATTCAATTATGCTAACTGCTAAGTTTTGGGTTTCATGTCTCGGTTTTTTCTCACCAGTGCAATGGTGGAACATAGAAGAACCCTGGTATCAAAAATCACCCACAGCGTGATCTCAGATCTTTCTTAAATCCTCTAAATCTCCATTTCCTCATTTTATGACTAAAAAAAATGATGAATGCAAAAAAAAAAAATGCAGCATAGTGACTGTCAAGTAGTGGCCACTCATTAAATGCTGGTGATTGTGTTTTTACCAATTGTGGGTTTGTTTGTTTTTTTTACAATTTCAGCTGAATTTTAATGAGCTTCTGTGATAATCTGTATAGCTCATGACACCACCTTCAAAAAAGAAACACTCATACATTCATTGTGATTCCTTGCTTCCAGCTTACTTCTGAATTTCTTTTTCCAAAATATAGCAGAACTGTCATAGTTTCTACAGTTGTTTTGTTTACTAATTTCTCCTCTACTGCCAGAGATTACTAGAAATTTTCAATGATTGAGAACGTTTGGTAAATGGGTTTCACAGACTATTTTTTTAAAAAATCTATAAATACATTTTGAAAATAAGTCAAAGAACATTTTTAAAAATTGATGTAATAAACAATATTTTTTTCATGTTATCTAATCTTCAAAGAGAGTGAAATATTGTGAGAAATATTTATTCCACTACCACTGAGGTGATGAGTCCCACTTGGAAGGGGAGAAGAAAAGGAAAAGAAAAGAAAAAAGAACAAGGAAGACAGCACCTAAAAACTTCCTTTCTTTCCTCACCAAAGCCTGTACTTACAACCCCACTTTTGGGGGAGAGATTGTCACAAAAAAATAATGAGTATGCCTCCCTTTCAAATGTTTAACAATAAACTTGTTAGGACATGTGAAAGGCAGATTTAGCAGACTTGGGATCAAAGGTGTTAACCTTTGAATTAACACTTGGTATGGTAGTTAAAGAAACAGAAATTCTTCACAAATGCTGTTTACTCGGTCACCCATATACTTGTCCATTCATTCTATAAAGAAAGAATTCATGGCGTAAGGGGAAAGCAAGGCAAGAGTCTCCTTTTATTGCTAACAGGTCTCAGATTCATCTTGCACAATGCATTAGATTAAGTTAAAATAAAAACTTTAGTATAACCATTAGACTCCTTAAGAACACATGGCACATCTTTTTAGACTTTTGGGAAAGCATTTTAATGTCTTCAACCTTTATCCTTAAATGAATATCCCTAATTTTATATGTCTCATTTAATATGTGTCTTTAAAAATGATCTCAATTTTATTTGACCTTTCCAAGGTTCTTAAATTGTTGTTCCTACCCTACATGCTGCCTTGCTTTTTTTTTTTCTTTGTGAGTGGCACAACACTAGCTAAGTGCATACTAAACTTATTTTTTCTTCTTGAGTTTCTTCTTTACACTCACACTACTAACACACTCGTAACACTTCTGACTCCAGATATATGGATTTTCCCAAACCAAGCAATGCATGCTTTGTGACACAAACTGGGTGTCCTACAATTCAATTCAATTCTGATTCTGCCCAGAAATGCAGACAAGTTAAGGGCTCAGTCCCAGGAGACTGACCCCACCTAATTCAGATGCCAATTGCAAGTAGTAGATCCCAGATTTTCCATAACTGCTTTCTGACTTTGAGACAAATCAAAGACCCTTATGACCTCACTTTCGATTCAGATTCAATTGTTTGCTAGAAAGCTCACACAACTTGGAATCATTTACTTTCATTTACCAGTTTGTTGAATGATAAAAAGTATAGATGAACAGTCAGATGAAGAGAAATATAAGTAAGGTACAGTAGGGGTCCGAAGTGTCAGAGTTTCTGTCTCTGTGTATCACTCTTCTGGTTTGTGGATGTCTTCACAAACCTGGAAGCTCTTCAGACCCCCAAATATTGGGAATTTTAGAAAGGCTTCATCATCTGGTCATGATCCATCATTGACCCAATTTCTGGAGCTTCTCTTCTTTTTGTAGGATGGGGGCAAGGCTGAAAGTTTAAATTTCTAAACAGGGGTTGGTCTTTCTAGTGACTACCAGGAGCCCACCAAACATTGCCTCATTAGAAAATAAGATACTGTTATCACCCAGGAAATTCCAAAGGCTTTAGGAGCTCTGTGTCAGGAATCAGGGTCAAAGACCAAATATTGAAACAAAAGATGCTCCTAGAGCTCCTATCACTTAGGAAATTACAAGTGTTTTAGGAGTTGTGTGCCAGAGGGCAGATATGTATGTTATGTGTGTGCATGTGTATAATTTTTTTCTATTAGTTCACAATAAGAGATTCAGACAAATCACAAGCTACATTACTTTGGCATCCTGAACTATGCCAAACCATCCCCTATCTCAAGCATAGAACTTTAGTAAACATCTTTGGTATACCACCTTTTATTTTCCAGACTTCTACACTTCTACTCTTTAATTTTTGTTAGGGAAGGATAAGTGGGAGGATTGAATGTAAAGGATAACTCCTTAGGTTAAAACACACACACACTCATACTCACATTCAAATTCACATAGCTACAATGGCAATAATATGTATCTATCATTTTTCCAACTCTGAACATGTTAATGTTAAATAAATGTCACATTTAAATTTTATTTATTCTTTTGGTTGGCAGATTCTAGTTCCATATGCTTTTTAATTTTTTCCACTATTGCATATTAAGATGAGATGTTCTAATATGCAAAACTGACATCTCATCCTTTGTGTATTCAAAAATAAAAATCACATCTTTAATGTCAGAATAGATAAGGATTTAACAAACTATTAAATTGTCATACATTTAGTTTCTTTTAAAATATCTACTAAATTTATTTTTAAAGTATTAAGCAAACCCCTAAGGTATGTGGATTAAATAGATTTCTGCTCTTGTGAATGATGGGGGTTGGAAGGGTGGGGATGGGGCAATTCCATGTATGCTTAAATGGTTTTTTTAATCAAATATATGAGCTTGGAGAAGTCTAGTCATAGACATAATACAAGACTGCATAATTTCCTTTGGCAAATTACAAATTTCTTTCAATATTTATTATATATATTGTTTAACTTTTAGTTTTAAAATGTGCTTTATAAACATTTTCAGATATATATGAAAACTGGAGGATATGGTATAATTGATTTATATATTTTAACCAAACCAATGACTTTTTATTGATATATTTCATTTATTTTCAGTAAAATACAATTTAATTTGTTTATAGGAAGTAAAATTTTGAAACACTTGAAAAGTTTTGGAGAGCAAATAATTGTCTTAAAGAATTATATTCGATAACAATATTGTAAGACCCTAACATGGAAGTTAACTTTCCTTTAAAGTAAATATGAAGTCACTAGGAAGATTTTTCAAGTTGATTTACTGTCTTTCATAAGCAAAATTTCAAGTCTCTCTCTTTCTCTCTCCATATATATATATCTATGATTCTATATGTAAATATATATATATGTATATATATATATATAATATGGAGAATTAAAATGTGTGGAAGAAATTGTAGAACTTCAAATTATGGATTTTTGAGATTATTTTAATTTTTCTCCAAAATCTAAGACATAAACACACATATTTCCAGTGATTGAATTTTATTTAAATTGCCAACTAAGAAAAATGTATTTCAGGACATAAAACTATGGAAGAGAAGTAATGACATAATATTATAAGGTGTAATCATTTAGTCCAATAATCTTATATATATGTCTATATATATATATATAGATTAGATAAGATTCTATATAGATCAAATAAGATTCTATATTCTTGAGAACAGGAAAAAATTCACTCTAATAGTAAAAACCTAGACTGTAAACTTTAAGTTATTAATATTTTATCTTATTGACATGCGAAAATTCTCTTTGATTATGTTTCTAATATATAAACATCATTATCATATAAATATTTATATCTGTATTTGTATCTTAGTCATTACATTTCTCCTTTTTTTTTCAGATAATGTTTAAAGGATTCTGCATCAATATTTGGTATTGGACATATTCAAAATCTGTTCTTCAACTTTTGATCTGCTCTATTGTCTTCCAGTTTTAACTTACTTGTGATCCCTTCAAACATTTTACATGGTTTGCAATGGTTACATGAACTTGCGGGAAGTGATATTTGCACCATCTCATACTTTATTCACTATGACACTTTAGGAAAAGAAATCAGAAAAAGCTTCCAAAACAGTATTTTAAAAAATGAATCTTATCGTGAAGCTTCGGAGAAGTTTTCGAACATTGATTGTTCTCTTAGCTACCTTTTGCTTGGTGAGCATTGTAATTTCTGCCTATTTCCTCTACTCTGGCTATAAACAGGAAATGACACTTATTGAAACAACTGCAGAAGCAGAATGTGCTGACATCAAAATCCTACCATATCGGTCACTGGAGCTAAAAACAGTTAAACCTATTGATACATCCAAAACTGATCCTACTGTCCTCCTATTTGTGGAGAGCCAATACTCTCAACTTGGCCAAGATATCATAGCTATCCTGGAGTCTAGCAGATTTCAGTACCAAATGGTCATTGCCCCCGGCAAGGGGGATATACCTCCTCTTACAGATAATGGCAAAGGGAAATATATTTTAGTTATTTATGAAAATATTCTGAAGTATGTCAGCATGGACTCATGGAATCGAGAGCTTTTAGAAAAATACTGTGTGGAATACAGTGTTAGTATAATTGGTTTTCATAAAGCCAATGAGAACAGCTTACCAAGTACACAATTAAAAGGCTTTCCATTAAACCTTTTCAATAATCTAGCTCTAAAGGACTGTTTTGTCAACCCTCAGTCTCCTTTGCTGCATATTACCAAAGCCCCCAAGGTTGAGAAAGGTCCTCTTCCTGGGGAAGACTGGACCATTTTCCAATATAATCATTCAACCTACCAGCCTGTGCTTTTAACTGAATCACAGACCGAAAAATCCCTTTCATCCTCATCTAGCAAATCACTCTATGCGACAGTGATTCAAGATCTGGGACTTCATGATGGAATTCAGCGAGTTCTTTTTGGCAACAACTTAAACTTTTGGCTACACAAGCTCATCTTCATAGATGCCATCTCCTTCTTGTCAGGGAAGAGGCTGACACTGTCCTTGGACAGATATATTCTTGTGGACATTGATGATATCTTTGTTGGGAAAGAGGGAACAAGGATGAATGTCAAAGATGTAAAGGTAAGAACATTTATAAATAACATCTTAATTTTTATTTCACTAACTGTGGTATTGACAAAATATAATTTTGAATATTTTAGATTCATAATAGCATGAAATATTCTGATGAAGTATGTTTGAAATTAAAAAGGCATTTAAAATTTTTTGAACTAGGCCTTGACTACTCCTCACATACATATCAAGATGCTTCAGAGGGGAAAGAACTAAAATATCCCCAAAAAAATATTTGAACTTAATCTCCTAGTCTCTTCTTAGACCTTACTTGTCCTGGGTGGAACCCTGTAGAACTGGTTCTCTTATTCTAGCATATGTTGCAGTTTGTAAGAGTGAGATTAGTATAGTCATAAAATTTGATCTTTCCATTAATCCCTTTGCCCTCCTTGGGTTTGACAATGGTGGTTGAAATACAAGATGGAGAAGTACCCTAAGACCTTTTGTAACTTTAGGTGAGCATAGTGTTTGTTTATATGAAATGTTCATACACTTGTAAATATAGATATAACCAAAACTATAGTTTTACAGGGAAACTCTATTGGACTTGAATTAAAAAATCTTCCACTATTATCTCTTTTATTAATTTATCATATTGTTTTGGGTAACACAACAGTGTTAGCACTTCTAGTTATGATCAAATTGACTGTATAACAAATTCACCTTGCAATTGCTATTAGATAACAAAAAAGCCAGATATGGTATACTAGGTTAAGTGGGTAATCTGAGAATAATTCCTTCTTTTTCATCTTGATTCAATATTTTCATTTGTGCCTGTCTTGTCCCGTACATAGCTAAGTTCATTCTTGAATGAATAAATTTAGCAAACATATAAACAGAAATAACAGGGCACAACTTAAAATTACAAGAGAACTATAGATTGCTAAGATTATATCATGTTTTTTAAACTCTTGCTTTTTTATCCCCCAAAGATGAAACCTCAATACTACTTCAAAATAACAGCATTTTTCCCATCCTGAGACCTTACGACCACTATAGCAAAATATGATTAAGACCAATGATATAAGTTCACTTTTTAAAAATGTTCAAAATACATGTGAATGGTGAACTTCGTTTTTAATGAGTCACTGAATGAAGCATCACTTGACTGGTACCCAAATATTTCATTTTGGACTTTGTTATAAAAGAATTAAGTGATGCCCTTTGAATTCTGTCTATATTTTTCTGATTTTTTTTCTTTTTTGTAGGGTTAATATAAGTTCTAGTTTTATTTCGATTTCAAGATCATAAACTTAAGAAGAGATTATATGCTTCAAAAGCTTCTCTGAGTGATTTCTATCCTGAAATCCTAAAAGGAGAGGGTTTTCTAATTTCAGTTTAACAAAGTATATAATTCAAAAAGTTTTTTTTTTTAATTTTATTTATTTATGATAGTCACAGAGAGAGAGAGGGAGAGAGGCAGAGACATAGGCAGAGGGAGAAGCTGGCTCCATGCACCGGGAGCCAGACGTGGGATTCGATCCTGGGTTTCCAGGATCACGCCCTGGGCCAAAGGCAGGCGCTAAACCGCTGCGCCACCCAGGGATCCCGTCAAAAAGTTTTTATAACTCTAACAAATTTTTTTTCAGGTTGAATTCAGCTGTTTCACTTACTCTCAATAAAAACAAATAGCTACTCACCACTATACAATATTCACTGGTGACTTCTTAAGTGACATGACCCTGAACAGAATAATAGAATACTGAAATTTAACCAAAGTTAGAACAACTTCACAAGCACAGGGAGGGCCAGAAAGGTTGTATGTGTATATGGATATATATGTAGTTTGTGTATGTATGTACATATGTATCTTAATTATGTACTCTTCACACACACACACACTGTCACTTTGAAGAAAATACTTTTTTCTGCCCTTCTTGATGTTGATTCTTCCTCAGAACTGCTAATCAAAGAATATCAGAAACTTGATTGAAGCTGAGGATTATTACCCTATTGGTTACTTAAAAGTCAAGAGGAAATACATTTTTCCAAACATAAAAATTCTAGTCCCAGTCCTTGGCATTTGATTTGTATTTTGACCTTTTTTTTTGGATTAATATGATTTTATAGAAAATAATTTTAAATTATGTGTAGAAAAGTTCTCAATACTCCCATGTTCTTCACCATCATGTTCCTTTTCTGGTATTATAACATTTAATCATACACTGGTAAAAATGAAGAGAAATCCACCCTCCACCCTCCCTCAAAGTCTTCTTGAATTTTCTCCCATCCAAGTACTAACTAGGCCCGACCCTGCTTAGTTTCCGAGATCAGACAAGATCGGGCACATTCAGGGTGGTATGGCCGTAGACATCCTTGAATTTTCTAAAGCAAGAGTATTACATGGCCACTGAAATTCTTCTATATTATACTGAAATAGAGAGTAGAAGTGTCCTGTTCCTCAATAGAACATATATGGGAACGCTGGAAGATCATGGTTGAAAATTCTTGGTTATTTATATGATTGGTGTTTCCCTGGGCCAATCCCACAATTAAACCTGGAGCATATAGCTGGGAGCATTTAACACAAATTCAAGCACAGCTTTGCCTGTAACACCACCTCACTCTGTTGACAAAAAATATATTAGCATATTTTAGCTTGCACACATTTTCCCATTTTGAGATAGAGATTCTGGATCATAGCACTAAAGAATTATCACTTTTAAGGTGCAGCATTTGATGCAGTGGAAAGAGCATGAGTTTTGTTTTGTTCTGTTTTGTTTTTTATTGAACTTGAAAGCTCATATTCTTTTCACTACATGGTTCTATTTGACCTAAGTTACCATATATCTAGCTTCTTTTAGAAACTTACATACTTTTTCTGATTTTATCATGCCTTCTTCCAACCAAAGCCATTGAGATAGAAATTAGTAGTTTCATTTCCAAGGCAAGCAAAATTAAACTCAGGCAGTTGCAGTAACTATCATCTAATTGTTGCCAAAATTTTATCTTATATACAAAAATTCAAGATATAAGAGAAATATTATTCATGTATATAATCTTCTGGAAATTCATTATATATCAAAAGATTGTAAAATATTAGCTATCAATAAAGTCAGAGAATATGGTCATGTTTTGACCTGGTAATATTTCTGTGTGGTCTTAGAGGCAATCACAAAATACTCCTGTACATCTAAACTTCTATTAGCAGGATGACCTTGGGTTATTTAGGATGATGTCTTATACACTTGAACTTATTCTTTGCTAGTTTTGAAAACAACTATCACTTTAATTACATGTATGTAATGTTCATTCCAAATGTGGTAACAGTTAAGCAATAATGCATTTAGGAAAAGCAAAAATAATAAAGGGCCATCCTGATTATTAACTTTTTAATTTTAAAAAGCTTCTTGCAGCCCACTGATTTGATTTCTATCGAAAATCCCTTACCCTTGGTTGGAACATTTGCTATAATCATAAATGTTTGGTAAAATTAAGGTAATATTTTTTTTTTCATAGTGTCCTAAGAGAGAATAAATATTCTTTCCCAATGAGGGCTTTGGAAATATGATCATGGTGAATATAAGCTTCCGCATGGGCAATGAAATCAGTTTTATTATTGATGCTTACCAATAATTTTGGCGCTTTAGTCAATTCTGTTACCTGTTGTTGCTTTCTCTGTTGGCAACAAAACATTATTATTACCATCTTTATGTCTTTACATTTCTTTTTTTTTTTAAATTTTATTTATTTATGAGAGACAGAGAGAGAGAGAGAGAGAGAGAGAGAGAGAGAGGCAGAGGGAGAGAGAGAAGCAGGCTCCATGCAGGGAGCCCAATGTGGGACTCGATCCTGGGACTCCAGGATCATGCCCTGGGCTGAAGGCGGTGCTAAACCGCTGAGCTACCGGGGCTGCCCTGTCTTTACATTTCTTAAAGAAATATATATATATATATATATTTATTATTGAGCATCTACTATATATAAGACTATATTTAAGACATCATCTGCCTAATAAATCTAAACTTATTTTAAGGTTATATATGGTCCAGTTCAATTTACCTTCTCTACATTTTTTCTTAATATTTCTCAATACACACTGCTCGTTTTAGGCTAGCCGACTGTCTATTCCTCAGCTATACCTTGCTTGTGTATACCTTGACCTCTTTTCTCAGCTTCTGTACCTTGACTAAAACATGTTCTCTGAATCTACCTGTATTTCAAAAGATATCTTTTGTTCCACTTCTCATGAGAATGGAGTACATGTCCTAGTGACCCCAAAATATGGTGATCTCTCTTTAAATTGAGTCTCTGAATAATCATTGGCCTTAACCCTCATTTAGCATCCTCACGTATATGAACCAACTCCTAAAATTAGACAATGAGACAGTTTTTCTTATATGTGCACATATGAGAAAGCACATAGCAAGGAAACTTAGACATGATTTGAAAACCTTTCTTTGACAATTATACTGTCTTTAACTTTTTGGTGAGTGCAGGACTAATTACTCATAGAATTGATTTACTACATTAAGAAAAATAAGGGTAATTTTGAGGTTTGTTTCAAAACAAGAGACGTGTATATTTTAAGTAGGTGGCAGAACTAGGAAAAAAATTATATGTATTGTAAACCTGGAATCAAAACAACAACAACAACAACAAAATGAGGTCAGCAAGCTAATTGGTTTCTTTTTTTTTTCCTTTTCTTTTTTTCCTCCATGGTGTTTTTAATGGATCTGTACCTAGACTAGTGTCAAAGCTTGATCCTGATAAAAGAGTTTAACAATATCTCAACCTGGATATTTTCATGCATTTATTTGACTACATGTTTCCTGAATTGAAAATCATATGTTCAAAGATTTAAAGTGCAAAAAAATTGTGCAAATTGAATGACTTAAACAGGAAAGAAGTTAAAGGATACTAATCTTTTGTTACTTCTGAACTTTTTATTTTTCATACATTTGACTTTGAAAATGGAAGAAAAAACTATCTCTTCCAAAAAAAGATTTCTTTGTGGAAGTAAACAGATTCTCTCCTTAAAAAAATACCAAAGTGATATAAAAGTACAC